ACACGGCAGTGCATCACTACTCTTCAATGCAGTTCTTCTTTGTTGTCCAGTCCACGGTGGCTGACCGGAATTTTCTGAACAAATGGAAGTTAAACCTAAACGGGCCACTAATTTGGCTTTCCAGTCTGGTGTCAGAGTGCCACCAAGGCGAGGATCTTTGGTAATCTGATGACCGGCTTCGATGGCAGGTATCTATTGGACAACAAGGCTAATATATACTGCCACCTGTAAGTCATTCAGGTCGGTGAACTCAGGTAGAAAAAAAATTATCATATAAAACTATCCTGTTGCATAAACGTTCGAGATAAAACTTTGAACGGCATTATATCATCATTAATGTCGTATCTTAAAACCTTAATAAACAAATATGTGCAAATTCGTATAACTCAGAATCTGTTCCGAAAAATATGCGTGACAAACGTTTGGCAAACCCCTATGGTTTATACACCAAAAAAAATTCCGTGGGCAACAAAATATGCGACTGATATAGTTTGCATTAGTCTGATATTTAAACCTTTCGATAAAAATTTTTTCTGTGGCTATATTCAATGGAATCAGTGATTTTGTTCCACGCAAACTACCGAACAACCGAAGAAAAATTCACTTGCGTATTTCCACTTAGCCTTCATTTTTGTTTCATTGTAATGCAGCACGTTTACAGCTTATGTAGAATACTGATGAATGGCACCTAGAAAATAATTTTACCATTTTCCGGAGTTTGATTGATTTGTAGTGAGTAGTCTTTGATGAAGAACTGTTGTAGTACATTGGCAAACAAATATCATCCCCGCAGAGGGACTAACACCAGATATAAGGCCGATACAAGGTTTGCTTGCTGCAGCTAAGCCAGTGGATTCAAAAGTGATGTTTTCACCAAATTACCGTTCAAAAAGGTATATGTGAGGGTTTTATTGTTTTTTCCAGCACGATAAAGCATCCAAATACAACACTTTCGGTCCTACAGTATTTCCATAAGCCGTGCGCGAAGGCGAACCTTTGGCGAATAACACAGTGCACGCCTGTCTTCGTGCATCACAGTTTTTTGCCAATGCACCAAAAATCCCTTGTGCGGAACTCAGCTAAATTATGCGTTTTATGGCCAGCGTAAAACAAGCGTTGAACAGAGCCTCGAAGTTTTGTTAATTTCCAAAGATGAAATTCAGTGTACGGAAGTGCAATCCACTTGGTGTTGCACTTCACATTTGAAGACGAACTTCGACAGGGCTGCGTACGCCGTGTGTCCAAAGCAACCGCGTGTCCGCTGAACACAAAACAGCAACGGCAAACTCGCAGAAGATACCGAAGCTCTATCCATAGTGTGAACAGACTGGAAGTATTCTAATTCGTTTAGAATTCTTGCGAGCAATAATCCAGAAAATTTATAACAAGTGAGCGTCGCGTTATTGTAAAACTGGTTCTTTTGCTTACAACAGCAATGTTTTCTCTGACATAGGTCACGTGAGTTTGTAACATTATCCCAATATGTTCATCGCTCAATTGACTGCTGATCTTGGAACTTCATGAAGATTATATCATTGGCGGCCTTTGAAAAATCTATCTAGAAAGCTACGAAAACGCAGACGTCAAGATAATAACGGAGCGATCGTGGAATGCTTCTCTGCGTTTCAGCCCAAAGTGACTATGTGATGAACTCTCAGCATACTATCAGACATCATTATTTGCACAAGTTACAAAGCTGAGATGCAGACGTATTAGCATAAACTCCAAGTCAACGGCACAAAATCACACTCCACATTTTACCATTGACATTTTAACCTTAAAAAATATGTCTCTTTTTTGTTGATTGCCGAAAAAATTTCGTGTGGCGCTTGTTAGAGAGTGAGAGTATTTTAAGGCATATTTACCAAATTCAAATACAAAATGCCATAAATCACATCCGGAGGAGGGTGATATATATATAGTAGCAGGCATAAATATTTGCAATCTAGGTGATTCCTACGATAGTTGCCTACACCTAATGAAGCTTTCCCTAAGAATCGTGTGGTCATTTTTTGAAGTTTGCCTATGTTCTACGAACGTGGGCAATGATGATGGGTGATGATGATACTCATGGTAAAGAGAGGTGTCCTGCACGAAGCCATCTGTATAAACGTCCCAGACACTCAGTAGCGCGTATTTTTTGTGGGATCACAGCGTTGCCATCAATCCATACCTGAAAAGCTCCAACAAAGACGCCAAAATTGTCATAGACTATATGAGCAACTTCGAAATATTAGTTTCTCAAACACCAGTTATGAAACACAGGTGATCCGTCTAAAGGAAAATATAGACCAGGGATTCGGAGAAATTTCAGCTGAGTCGCCTGTTGAAGCGGAATTGATTTGCAGCTGGGTGTATAAATGGGTTCCCCGGAAAGAATTGAGCTTGACGGCGATTGAGTCAAACCAAAATCCTTCGACGCAAGTAGGACAAAACCAGTATAAGGAAAAAAGTTTTCGCTGTGGAGTCGTTTATTAGAGAACACCAGCTGAACAGTTACAGACTATTGGACAGGAGCGCAAAGCTCTCATATGCATCTTGTTTACAAAACTGAATATCCATCCTCTCCGCGAACATGTTTTCTTGAACTTTCCAGGATATATATTGACCGTCACTCAAATCCAAGCAAATGCCAGAAAGCGACTCCACAAATTCCATAACAGATCTCGAAGTACGCAAAGGGGATTTACTTGGAAACACTACTCACATGCCTCATCAGAAGTATCCACCATTACACCAGTAGCGAGCTGTTCACAGTGTCCGCTCATCCTATTTTTGTAGTGAGAACTCTTGATCGCTCAATCTAATAAACTGGAAATTGCTAACTACAGAACCGTCTATCGAGTGTATTTGTCTACCCGATCATATGTGATTTATTGGATGTTTTTTATGATCATGCTCACTAATAGTCATCTTACTGATCAAAGCTTGAATTTTCCGTCCAAAACATGATACGCTATCTTTCATGACGAGGATCTATCCACTCAGTTATAAATCCTGACATGAGAACTGTTGAAAGGCCGCTACTAGTTCACATACAAACTGACCGTGGGCTGAATTCCTGTAGAAAACTGCTTGCCCATTCAACTGAATTATTATGGCGACCGCCTGCCGCTTTCAATGCATGATGTCAGTGGCTGTGTGATAAACTAGGAAGTTAGTCGCAATTTCGCCACTTACGCTCCTACCCAGCTTCCGAACAATGTAAAGTCCCCTGTTTGTATAACAAAAGTTGATAAGCGATATTCCTCGTCCAAATTCTTTATTTTACTTCCTTATGAAAAAAGCATTCATTATATCTCCACTTGCACTTCAAGGCTTCTTCGGCGATCTCATATTCCTCTCTGTATACAAACGTGGCCAGCAAGCTCATTCGTGGTACATCACATTTGCAGCCATAGTGGAGTGCTGTGATTCATTTACCTATCAGTCGATATTTCTCTTAGCATTCGGTCTCAGGATCGGTTAGCGGGACAAACATTATCGACCAGCATTGAGTGTTTGGTGCCCATCAGTCCCCTCCGTCAACAGCTTAGCATCGGTAAAAACATGAAGCAGTTCTCCGTAAGAGCCAGAGTACCTTTGGGACGTTAGGTTGTGTAAAATAGTGGGACAGAGTAACGATTGTGTTCACAATACGGGTGCAAAAGAGATTCATTTATCCCCGGACTTCTGTGGAGTACAGCTGTAAAATAACAGATGATGCAAAAGAAGTGAGTTAGTTCGTTTAATTCGCCCAGTCCCAAAGGATAAGAAGCGTTCGTTAATTACTTGCTGTTTCCTACTACATCCAAACCTTGATCCTAAACAAGCGGGCCTCCAATTGGTAGCAAGTTCTCTGCAAGTCAAGACAAACTTTCTCTGCAAGTCAAGACAAATCATGGTGCAATACTGCATGCCCTCGGTGGAAGACTACTCTGACTTTTTTCCTAAACCTCACGTGATATCCCACAAGAGTGATTTGACTCTTACACACCGGACGTTTAGGCGCCAGCAGGCCGATAGATTTTCGTGGTCGTATGAAAAAAGACCTGTCGCATAAAAATAAAAACTATTCGTTCCGATGGAATGTCAGGAGCGCCTCGTGGCCTCATTATAGGATGCACACCCATTGGTGTCAGGTCTCCTATCGTTAGGCGCCCGATACAGACTTCTGGGAACTTGAGTTAGGAACATTGGATAGACCAAGCAAAAAACATTTTGGTTGGCTTCAAACCTTTGTGCGGCCAAAAATATATTATGGCTAGCTAAAATGACAATACACGGTAGTTTGTTTGGCCTTTTTTTATATATGTATTTCAGAAGCGAATACTGCGTCCTCCTTGCTCGAAATTCCAACAAATGAAGTGGCAGAGAGACAAACGTTGTTTCAAGATCATCTACCGTATTGAACTTCAAAGGACATGGCATTACTTTAGTTGCCTGGGAATTAAGGAGATCATGACTTGAAGGATTTAACCTACAAGACACTAACCGGGAATTCCATATAAAGAGAACTTTGGCAGGGCATCAAAAACCTGAGGAAGTTCCGGCCTGTTTCATCATGGAGCCGGTTCTTCGCTTTGAGCTTCATGTACAGAAAATGTGCTGATAAACACATTAGAGTAAAAAGATGCTGGTCGGGTTGTTCGCTGAGCTGGGCAATTTGATTGCAAACGTTTCATCATCAATCAACGTGACATCATCAGTGCGTTATTGGGGAGCGCGGTGCGTAGCGGTGTGGTTAGCGGCTGGCTACGCACCACTGCGCTCCTCAATAATGCACTGATAATGTCACCTTGATTGGTGATGAAACGTTTGCAATCAAATTACCCAGCTCAGCCAACAAGCCAACGACCATCTACGATACCTGAGCTACCGACATTTTCCTATATAGAAAATAAAAAGATGGATTTTCGACTTCTAATCACGAACATCTCTTAGAAAATAAAAAGATGGATTTTCAACTTCTAATCTCGAACGCCTCTTACGAATTTTTGTATTTTGCATTCAAATTTTAGATGGCCACAGGAAAACTTGATATACCCCAACCGAAAGTCAAACGCAGTGCGCTGAAAAGTGCATTCATAGCGCTGAAAGACAAGGTGAGCCTGTGTAGAACAAAGGCGTCATTCATTTTACGCCTTTGAACTTCTGTTAATTCGCAGCATAATCCTGCGGTATGATATGGTTTGGATGGCGTGAACAAGTTTCACATTTCGCTTGTATTTGTCTTTGATTTATGTTTATTAAAAGCCAAAAGATGTTGCTGGACACCCTGAGGTATGACTCTTTACAGTTAAGTGCATGCTTACGTAATCAGAATATGAAACACATCGTCTGTAAAACGCCAGTCAGTAGGAAGCGTTTGCTGATAAACTGTCTTTTGTCTATTACAATTAGAAATAAACCTCAGAAAGAGGCAACCTGCAGCGCTGAGAAATGAATACTTCTGGGTTGATCAAGCAGATAAACTTGCTGTTGGCTTTGGTCGGCTGACCTCGCGTCCTTATCTGAAGTATCCAGATGTTCCGGCTTCGGAACAGTGCTTTGGAGTATCAAAAATTAAGTTTCCTCTAACTGCAACCAGCTGTACCGTTGTTAGTGCAAACTATACGCGCTGCCAAACTGCCATCAGATTGTCACGTGATACTCTGTGTCAAGACGTACACTATTCAACTGTCTGAACGGGTATGACCATTGATCAGTCAGACATGTAATTCGCTTAACAATTCAGCGTATTTCCTCCTAGCTGGTTTAAAATATGGATTGTTTATACAAACTAACGGACTGTTTCACTGTTATTCAGTATCTAAAATTGTATTGAGTTGAGGGGTAGTCTCGCTGAACTTGTTCTTTGAGTGCTCATCAAATGAGATCCCTGCTTGTTGTGCGATGCCGGTGAGTGAGCCAAGATCGACTCATCCGGAAAACGTCATATGCAGTCTAACGAAAAACAACCGATCCAAACTGTGCAACCATAGGTAGAAAAACCTCTTGCGCCTGAACGCCATTGTTTTTCGTTTAATCTTCAGTCACGTGCTAGAACACTTTGGGATTCTATGTCAAAAGTCCTTTTACATGCCACTATACGCCTCTAGTTTCGACATTAGTTTCATTTCCAGAGAAACATCTGATGAAGGCACACAGAGGAATTTCGGCAACCTGATGAGCAGCTTTCTAAGGTCTTATGCAAAAATGGCTAAACCAAATACATGAATTTGCTCACCGGATATGATTTTCCCGCACCATTTAAAAGGCGCGTGGGTAAGATGGTTTGATATACTCATTGGTTGGCAAAGTATACACTTATCTGCAAACCAGTGTGGTTTTGAAAAGAGTCCCAGCTGAGTGACTCATTCATGAAATCCCTTAGCTGAGTGCGCTTTACATGGTTTCACTTGGGATGATTACCGAGATACCGTGGCTTCTTCTATAGAGGAACTACGAATAAGGTGACTGACAACTCTTCAACAAGTCATCCCCTGCTTTATGCTCCTTGAGGCTCGTATTGTAGGCGCGGTCCCCGGGTATAGTTTTAGCCATAGACTTCGCTGAATCTCAGATAAATCTCTTGCTCATGACGTGAAGTTCCTCACACAGGCCACTTCATGTTTCAGTTGATATGACGTTCCGGATATCGCAATACACTTTTTTGAAGAAACACTATTCATACGTTTGCTGAAATCCCACGGGTTTTCATCAGACCTACGAATAGTACTCTTTCAGTAATGTTCTTGATGGTTCATTTTCTGCATCATTTTGATCAGTCATTCCCCCCCCCCCACCAAGGCTCTTCCTTTTCATAAACACACCCCATTAAGACAAATTCGTTTGCCGGCACATGAAACCGGCTCATAGATTCACCGAGGTCGATTGATCAATCTTTCACCTTGACACATCACCTAATTGCACGTAGCAGAACACTTCTAACGGAAAGCCAAAACTGTGCACTACATTGCTAATGATCAAGGTGAATAGGTTAGGCAGCATTCACTTTCTGTGACTAAAGAGCGGTATCTAGATGACTGACATATATCTTCGCTTTCTTTTTCCCGCTAAAGTGATCGACCATGTGCACTTTGAACACGGACAGAAATGTTCAACCATCCACCCAGTCACGTGACTTGCCCAAGCTGAAACGTTTTCTGCAACAGTAACGGCTTAGTTAGAGCTTAGGTGTCACAGCAATCGGAAAATGCTGCTGATCTATTAGCTGTATTTTAAGCTATCTTAAGATTGTCTGTTTGTGTAAAAAAAACAATGTTTCATGTAAATATGTAGAGGACAGAGGACTGTTATTTTTACAAATATTGACATGGGCGTTGGTAATACTTCAAATACAAAAATTCAACACAGGGGTGACAAATAAAGCAAGGGTCTCATTCTGCAACTAAATGAAACAAAAAATATAAATGCAGGATGCACTGGAATGCATAGGGTCATGATCAACGTTGTTTTATTTGATAGAATATCGCACTCCAGCACTCGTTTTTTGATAAAAAAAACTCGAACTATATAGAACTAGTCATAGCTTCTGACACAAACGGATTTTAGAAGCCCTTCCCAACAGTGATGTGCGATTGTGTATTGAAAAGCTGCGATATATATCAAGGCCGATTCTAGCAGTGGAATATATTCAAAAGAAGTTCATACGCAGATCCGCAAGATAGGACCATTGAAATATAGAAAAGTATAAGGGCGTTAGAATATCTGTCGGAAGACGGGGCACTAATAATAGGGATAATTTAAGCAGTTTCCGAACAGATACTGGATTTTTTCACAATAGCGGAAGATAAAGGGCACCGTACCTAGAAATGGCGGCCAGTAGGGAGATGACACACCAAAAACTGCTTTCGTGAATTGATATTTGCTCCTGACGGTTCTATAAGGAAGAAACGTAACTACATTAAGTCACGTTTCATCTATTCAACAAAGCACCTAATGACAGGGCTGCACAATTCTACACCTAGATAACTCAGCCAATAGCTTGTCCCTTCATTCAAGTCAATTCAAGGTAAAAAGTAGAGGAGAATCCGAAAGCTGTTCTATCTTTATTGATATCCTAAAGACCTTGGAAATATTCCGACTAGTTATTTCCTGGCTAATAGTCAAACACTGTATTATTGGACAACACATGGCTGATCACTATCGACTAACTTACGTAGGCAGCATATACAGCCACTCGCCCTTTATTCTTAATTTGCTCGCCGACTGGTGGCTTCTCACACTTAAGGCTCGAGCGATTTCTGTGATTTTGATCGGGCATATGACTCGGATCCCCCTCTCCGTACGGTGAACACGCAAACTTTGCCTTATACAAACAAGAAAAACCTACTTATGCTTTTCTTCTAATGACTGTACAACTACGTTACAAGAATGAGGCCCATAGCCCTGTCAATGAGGAGGGAGTTGTTTCCTAACCTCGAAATGGCACACATATCGGTCACTAATTCATTCAAAACTCAATCCAACTAGTCGCGGCAACCAATCAGCATTCTTGTCATCCATATGCTCTAAGGGAACAACGCCCACCTGATGAATGTGTTGAGAACACGAGATTCATTACGCAACAGGGGCACACTACAGAGAGCTTGATTATAGCCTCCGCTATACTGTTTTTCATATTGACCTCACAACCGTTTTGATGATTGTCCTCAAACAATGTAAGGAGAAATACTGCATAAAAAAATCTAAATGTGCTTCGATAGTAAGTCGGTTTTCCTGGAGCTATGCGATTCTCAGGGTTTTCTAGGCTTTACCTTGAGGATTCTCATTATCCCAGCTTTGGCTACGTAGACAAAACGAACTAGAGGACGTTGTGATTGAAATTACATGTTTTTATTGAACAACGTCTACCACATTCACTGGGTGTCATGTTGGTGTAGAAATGATTCTCATTTGCTCCCACTGATGGCAGATGAAAAATATTCCTAGCTTCGAGTGATCGAATCATAGCTCTGTATGATAACATTAAATCGCAAGATGCGGATAAAGTTAACCGTTTGCACAGCCGTATTTAAGCTTGTTTGTCATATGTTCAGGGCCAATCATGTATCTACCGGATGCCGAATGCCGGTTGCCCATGGAGCATTCAGAAGGTGTCAGAATTTCCAGACCGTTGCTAATGCATATAGTTTTTACGAGACGCACTGTACGGGTGCCTTATACAGGTTGAAAAACTCTGGTTGTTTTGACGTGAGCGCTAGCTTGGAAAATCCAGATCAAGACTTCACAGTGTCAGGCTTAATGCAAAGACATCTGATCTATGAGGCCAGTTTGTTGACAGTGTTCAGCAAACGCATACCAGATGCACTTAAATTATCACACAGGAACAGAAACTTCTTTGCACACTGCAAACGAGAAAAACCTGAACCCAATAACTGAAGAAGCAGTTAGCCGAACATGATGACTAATTACTTCCTGATGGTGTTTTACTGGCTGCGAAGACATGGCGTCTTGTGATGGTGACTTATCTTAGTGTCATCTTTATCATAGTAGAATTTTAATAAAGTTACCTGAATTATTCAGGATGAAAGCTTGTTATATGACTATATTCCTTCCTGCATCACCTCCGTGCCATGAAACAAATCCTCAAAACTAATTCTGTGGATCGGACTCTTTAGATCAGGGAAGGAAAGAGCATTTCCGATGGCTGAGAACCGGCACTCATCAATCGACACGTTTACTCACTACCCTAGTTTCAGGCTGTCCCTTCAAACCCCTTAGGCTTCTTCGGGAATTCTGTCCGCGAAACATGCGAAACCGTGGGCGACAAAACCAGAAGCAAACGTTTCAGTGGCAACAGATGTTAACAGGATGGGGACACAGGAAAACGTAACACATCCTATGAATATGTATTTGAGCTCCAACTAAACATAATTTACGTCTTTCTTAAATATTTGTCATCCTTATGGGTTTTGGTGAGTTTCCATTACACCAATAATCCTTACTAATGACCCAGATAGCGGAAAGTGGAGATCATTTCATACAATGAGTACATTAATACAATGGTGCATTTTCGTTACAAACTTACATAGATCGTGAATATCTGAATTATTCACTCTCGTGGATTCTGACATAATAAAAGATAGCTTTATAAAAGAGCTGGATTTTCGTAGGCCAATAATATTTGCCGTTTTTCGTGGTTTGAATTATCTAGGAAGATTTCCTTGAAAGAAAAATCTTTTGCTGATGGTGCGTCCATATTTCCTAGGCTGAATCCAATAATACGTCTTTGGTACCATCTCACTAAACCCATCCACGATTCAGAATTCTTGATTAATGTTCAAAACAAAGATTTCTGAGCCTTTATGAAGGAAACTACTCACAAGGCTGCTGAAAACTCTTCAAAATCCCACGACCGGTTTTGCCCTACCTAGGGCTCATCTGGTAAGCGAAATCTCCGAGTTTCCGTCAACCTTATGTTCTACGTGAACCCAAATTGGACTTGATTTCGACAATACGCTCATTCACAAACCAATTTGGTTTTCACAAAAAACTCATCATGAGCACGGGATTCACTTGATTCTCCTGTGAAAACCAAAATTTTGAGCTTTATCGTCAACAGGTAACGTTATGGTAATGTTATGTTGTTTACTCGTGGCTCAAGACTCTTTCGAAATGATTGAAGAAGTTTTCCTATGGTAATAGTCTCCGGCCAATCTGACAAGCATTGCAAATTTTATTTCATAATATCACACTACATGATATAACTACAAAAGTATACAAGTACAATCCAATTCAAACTGCGAAAGTGTTTCAAAAGGTTGTTTGGGGTGTGAAATGAAGAGGACGTGTAAGGACTCTAAATCTTCCCCTGCAAAAATCTACCAGGGTGCGGAAAAATAACCCGCAAAGCAAAACGGTTTTCCGTTCACGGTATCCTTCAGACTAGTGATGGGCCACCGACAAGCCTGTAAGTGGCGATCACTGCCAGTAAAGAATCGCAGCCAAAATCCTGACGTGTTCAAAAATGAATATTTGGTTTAATCAGCCTCCAAAGGCAGTGATCATTGGTGACTTTCCTGATACTCTGTGGCAGTATAAGTGAGGTTTCCTGAATTAGATGGCTGGGTTACCAGTAATCTGTAAAAGCAATTTTACTGTTTCATGACAAAGTTTGCACGAATAATTACCAAAATTAAACTGACAAAAATAAACCTGGTTCATTTTCTTGACTACTGCTCTGCTGTATACTACTCATGTCTGGTTCCGTGACTCAAATGGTTAAGGCGAACCTTATTGCATAAACAATGTTTTGAAGATTTATTATGCGCGTGTTTGATGCCACGAGCGCATCACAACGCACGCTACCAACTTATTTGACGAACAACTTGGAAATCTATATTATCACCATATATTGATCACTCGAAAGAAATGTTTACAAATGATCTGATAGTGCAAAAGACGTTGTAGAGAGTAATCCGACCTTTATGACCTCACCCGGTGTTTGCAACACCCAGGCGTTTGCCATCGGGTGATGATTTGTGATGTGCTGACAGTCAGTCACACCTCATAAATTAAAAAGCCTCAACTAAGTACGACTATAATACCCCGTGAATCAAAAGATTTAACAATGTACCAGACATTCTTGGTGGATGGATAAGTGATGCGAATTTTACTTTCATTTAAAGCAGTGAGCCACCCAGAACAACTCCTTCTCAGTGTTTGGCAAATTATTCCTTCAAGCTAGTTACGGGCCAACAAGCTTAACTCTGGAATCGGTCAGTAACAGTATTCACAAGTGCCTCGTTTTCCAGAAGTAATTCGCTTTCTATTAAGTGTTTCCCTTTTGCTACTGTTCTACCGCATACTACTTATCACTTCGTAAAATTTCCGTTTATACGGCTTTTTATGTCTGTTTTCGTTTAGCGTGACGCCTTTTTCAAACGTTCCTCCAAAACTATGGATGAATCAAGTAAGTTTAGCGCCTATTAGGAGCATAAGTTCACAAAATTATGTTAGTTTGTACATAAAAGCCATGTATTACTTCCGACCTTCATGAGATGTTCATTTGGACATCTCGTCAGCGGGACCTCATAGAAAAGACAAAATTTTCTCCGTGCCTAGAAAAAACAGTCCCACCTCACTCGTTCCCTTTTCATGCTTTTTTACAGATGAAATCAGTGATCCCGTTTACCACTTACTACGCTGCGCAGCAACTCCAGGTGTGTCATTTACGTAGATTCTTTTTCAAAAATAGGCATTTATTGATAAACCAACATATTATGCTCATTCCTTCTAGCCAAATAATTTTGGAAGAAGGTGCCACTAGGAGCAAGCACCAAGTACAGGAAAGGCTAGAATTCAATCTATCCTCATGAGAATATGAGACTTTTGGGGTTTCCGCTTTATTATACGCATTATCTAAAAACCGATTGACCGAAAGACTGAATGACAAACTGTCTGATTAAACGGTTCAGTGACTGAAGTGACAAAAAAATGAATTGTTTGCTCACCAGCTTGAAACCCGCGATCAGCCTTTATCAATTTCCGGATTACTGGTGCTACCTGTGTCTCACCTGAGCCTTTGCGTGGGACATCTAGGTTGCCGGCTCTCGCATCCCAATTATTCGCCATACAGAAAGTTAAAACTCTGAGTGATCAAGGATAAAGTGTTAGCACAAAACTATCAGGTCGAATTTGCTTACAGTTCATCGAGGAATTGTTTACCCAACGAAAAACGGACCGAAATGTGCTTTAGCTTTCAGGTTTTGACAGTTCAGCTACATGGTCCTAGCGTATATGAAAAATGTTTTTCACCGCAGATTGGTTAACAGGATGCGATACACTACTGTCTCTTTTGCCAGAACATTTTTAATAATTTTGCAATTGGCTTTCAATCTGGCCTTCCCCAAGAACTACAAAAGATATAAGCCTGCCCAATTACAGGTAGCTCTACTGTGGATGAATGCATGTGTAGCTTGAAAGCAGTGGAATTGTTTGAGTTCCGGAAGATTTCAGGTTATGACTGCCTTTCATATTCGTAATTTGCATCAAGTTACGATTCCATTTAATAAGTATTCTGTAGCGTATTACCAAACGTTCGATGTTCGAAAGCAGGGCGTCAAACGTTCAGGCCTTGACTTGTGTGACTCAAAGGACGCTGGAGCAAGCATAAGGGAAATTTGAAGGACAAAATTAGAGCGTTTGATCCTGCCCAGGATTCTTTTTAGAAGGAACTTGGCATGTATTTGATTACCGCACAGCCTGAAAACCAATGAATGCTAAAGATCTTCCGGATATTCGAATTTAGCTGTCTACGTCAAAGTCGAGCGTTTTGCGTTAAATTTGTGTTTAGATTATCCGATGAATTCCGGCATGTCTCATAGAATAAACTGACTTAGAAACAACATTCTTCAGATTTGCAAAACTTCTGAAATTCGGCAGCGTGTATCAAATCTTCCATATATATCTTAGATTTTGTGTATACGAAATAAATCTGAGTGAATATTTATACTACCAAGCTGGAAACCAATGACTCCTTTTAAGGTGTTAAACAGTGAAAAAATTGTGTTGCACGAGACAGTTAGCAACACTGTCCTTAGTTACTCCTTATGTAAGTTTCTTTCAATGTCGCATTTGTGCCTTTTAACTGGAAAGCATGATATAATTCGTTGTCTTTCTTATGCAGATCATCAGCCTTCCACGTGTAAATGCGTTTGTCATATGGATGATTTTGAAGGTCACCGGGGTCTTGCGGAAATGTCCTCCCCGATAAACGTTTTGTTCTCACCTCGAAGTCGGCCGCAACCGCAGCTGCCGTATAAAACAAAGCTCGCGGAATCCAAATCTCCGCATTCCCTTCCGACCTTGTACCCGGATGAAGGGTTAACACCAAGCACTGAGGACTATCCCACGTCACGGTCAGGTTTATCAAAGAAACCAACATTTTCACTGCCAAGTATTCTTTCCCGACGGAAACAAAAATCACAACGGAAGAAGGAAGAAGGAGCAGTTTCATCAGAGTCAGGTGCCGTAGCAAACGCGTTATCTGGAGATCATTCAAGACAACATATATTTACGTTCGATTCACCATGAATAGGACGTACCAATATGGGACCAAATCAGATGCTTGATGGTATTTGTCACCACGAAAGGTTCATAGCTGTGTGCTAAACAGATCAGAGGGTGCCCGTGCACAGGCCGATCAACCTCTATTGCATTCCTGTATCAAATGTGAGCAACTGCAGTACGCTGCAGCCCTGTCTAGCATTCAGTGATCATTATGTACATTATCGATTCCGTTCTTTCTTCCTCCAATCCCAAATGCCCAACTGCATTCACTGACCTAAAATCCCGACCAGTTTATTCAACGTTAACAAGAAAAACAACAACATTGACATTCAAACATGACCTCAAATTCGAGTGCCGATCATTTTATGGTGCTTAGTTTTATACAGAGAAGAAATATGCTAGGAAAATGGCACTTTTGAACTCTGAAGCCGGGAAACTATGCGGTTTGTACCTATATAGAAAAAACCCTACTGTCACTATATTTGAGGGGAGCTGGTTGACATTAACTAGCTACTGCCAATCACATAGTCATACGTTTCTTCTCGTGTCATCCCAATTAGCAGGTCCGGTAATCTCCAAAGGACAAACTTTCCGATGATCTCCGCTGACATTTTGGATTTCTTAAGATTGCAAGCTCAGGAAGTACAAACCGAGTTGCCCTTGTGCATCTGTCAGAAACAATGGTTATTCATTTCCAATTTTGGGACGAAATCTAGGAAAAGAAATTCAATGTTGTTTGTTTTCTGGCATGATAAAAGTGGTTTATGGGAATCCGCTTAGCAAAAAGTGGATGGGTTTGGCTTTTAAACTGACAAATGACATTGCTGTGATATGAACTCGGTAATTAGGAAGTGGCAGTGAGTGTTCGCCACACGAGGTAATTCTTGGTTCGATCACATTGATCGCCACTGTTAACTGCTAAGCGTTTGCCCCGCATTACTTTTTGTGAATGGATTCGCAAATAAACTTGTGGGAGAGGACAATTATGGTTTCGTCTAGCTTGAGGGGTGAAGACAAAAGATCGTACATCTGGGAGAAAAAAATATGTTGTCAAGGGCCGCAGAGATAAAGGTAACAACATGGATTGAATATGGGTCACATTTCCGATATATGTTCGTCAAACAGTTTTACTCGTCAGAGACTAGTCCGTGGTTGGCAGGAATCCAAAACAAAATAAGAAATTCGTGTGACGCACCCACCTCTCGGCCAAGTGAGTGCTACCGCCTGTATGCCTGGCTGGCGCAATAACAAGGCCAGATGTGCGAGACCGTCTGCAGTGGCCTGGAGCTTCCTTCTGATAGAATTCAACGAATTTGATGTCACGTTGTAGGTTAATGGGAAAACTACTTTGACCCGGTGTTCCCTGTCCATCAGTTGAGTCGAAGCGGAAGTGGTGACGGTTCATCGTCATCCTTTCTGAAAGCTGGCTGGGAAATATTCAGACATTTGTTTAAACAGTTATCTCGTCGTTGCTCAAGCAATATGGCTAACCCCACAGGAACTGACACACTGACAAATGCCCATTGACGTGATTGGACGAGGCAGTCTGTTTTGTTGTTCTTGTCAGCTTTGTGAACGGCTTGTAGTGGACAAAGCAGTTGCAGTAAACATTGTTCTTACTAGTGATTCATTAATCAGATCAGCCCTGAAATTCTGGCAGGAATCAACAGGTTTTCCTGTACACCATGCATCAGCCTTTCGAGAAGTAATCTGCATTCTAGTTTTTTTGTCGGAAAACTGAGAAATTCCAGCCGTTTTTCCAAACATTTGTCAAAACGCACAATTTTGGATTGGTGAAACAAATGCGGCGTGGAGTTTCTTTTATACCTAATTGGCAGAAATAGTGAAGAAATGTACATAGCCCCAAATCCACCTTGGTTTGCAGAGAATAGGGGAATGAACAGAACGAAATTTCGTTTGACCCGCGTTATACTAGTCTTGCTTCAAGAATTCCTCAATGTAAACAAGTACAGTACGAACTATGTGATATATTGTTCTGACAACGCATGGTGGACTTGAATTCAGTGGGCTGTGCGCATCAAATAAGACAGTACGGACAGAAAGCCACGCCCAGCTATCTGGTTGCGTGCACTCATTCGTAAATTTCCCTACTGCAAGTTGGGTAAGCACTGATTTACATATCTAAGCAAACTCCCACATTATATAAAGCTAAGAACTTTGTCCTACAGGACTGTTAGGGTTCAGAAACGATGGCAGAATACGTCTACAGGTATTAGAAAATCACAAAGATGTACAGCAGACACAACTGGAGCAGAAACACGGTCCCACCACCGCACCTGTTGTGTTTCGAGAGATATCATCTATCAGTTCATACTATTTCGAAAACTAAACAAAGGTCCACCCGATATATATAGAGCATCAGTGAAGTATGTTGAACGTGGTGAGCGTTGTGTAGTGCGATACTGTAAAATTCAGTCAACGTGATGGAAATGCGCAGGGTAAAGGCACATCGAAACTTGTCATTTGTGGCTTAGGTTTTATTCTAGAAACTTGAGAGCGCAAAACTTATTGGTCAATATACTTAGGCACATGGGGAGATGAAAGCCGTGCCTCATTGAGCCACTTGCCAGATGCAGTTGCAAAAGGGTGTGAAAACACAGAAGGGTGTTTTTCAAGTACGTGTGGGATACGGACTAACTATGGATGTTAGTTGGTTGCATCTAATGTACTCTAGATTGAATCGTCAGGTTGAACCTACTGGTGGTCGAGGGATGTATTGTTGTCCACTGATTGGAATATCTTGGTTCAAATATCCTTTAGGTTTCACTGGACGTTTAACGTAATTTAGTCACAATGGCGATGAAGCAGCTTTGAAGTGATTCTTGGCTTTTCATGATGGACTATCTTGACAAGCATGAAGAAATCCGAATCCGAAATTTCTAAAAAGGACTCCGGCTCCATGTTAGGAAAGCGCTTTAAAGTGGCACCTTCTGGCAGTCTGAACGTCAAATCGATTACGAGTTTTTGTATTCTTTTAGAAGGACCCTAGTAAATTCTACCGTGGCCTCTGAATTCCACCACTATTTGTCACATACATGAATCCATGCGTGACGTTGAACATGGTGCTTTATATCACTGCTGCATGCTATGACTGAATTTGTCACCACTAGTTTCCACACAAATCAAATAGAAATCTCCTGATTTATCATCCGGAAATTTCACCGGTTAAGCACATCTTTGTTTCTTTGGCATAGGGGAGAATATTTCACCAAGTTCAACTGGAACCAATGAGAGGCCAGAGCCCTTGGCCCGCGTTTACAACTCAGCAGCATTGAGTTGTCAAAGGGACAATAGGCAGTGAACGGCGCGGGGTTAAAGGAAAAAAATCAACGAGTTTTCTAGTAGTAAGAATAAATGCAGAGTAAATAAAAAGCGGGTAACGGTGAAAAGTTATTTGTGGCTGATTTCCTACAGGAGATTTCAAGTATTCCTAACTGGTGTACTGCATGGGCGAACCCTGATATGATCTAATGGTTTTCTGGCATGAATCACATTACATTGTCAAGATTTACAGCACAAAATCAACCTGAAAAGTGACGACCGATTCAACATGACAGGTGTTATCCTCCGCATGCAGGATGGATGTAAAGAAAGTCAAAAGGCCAGATCAGTGCTGCTTGGTAGACACGTCAGTCCCGAATCCAATTTCTGATAAATATTTTTATCTTGTTCACAGATTACTTGAATAAAGGACGGCCCAGTACATGAGCTGAGAAAGTAGATGTTGCATTGACCTGTGATCATCCTACCTCAAGGGGACATTATTATTACGTTTTTCTCCAGAATGTTTTCTCGTTCTGAACAGATTCCTAGTACCAACTGGAAAAAATAATGTTATGATCACTTGCATCAAACTAGTTCATTGAACAGTTACCAGATCCCCTTCAAATGCCTTTTTGAAGTTTCCGTTAGCCAAATAGTACATACCTGGCTGTCAACCACTGGGTAGAAATAGCGGTTAGTTGTTAGCTTGCGCACTGAACTGAGTCATCAACTAATCGTAGCGTCCACCTGACCACTTCTTAAGGGACTGCTTCTAGCTTGCCAAGCTACATACTGTTTACTTTTACATTGAGCTATTTCTGCACACCAAGAGTTTCAGTAGATTCTACTGTCGGTAGCTGCCACCGGATTACTGTAAGTTTTGCGTCCAACCGTTTAACGGTAATCAGATATTTCAGGTCATATTGATTTTGACTGCGAGTTGAAGTCAGCGTGCATACAAGAAAACTTTATAAAACGGCTGCAGACCTAAATCGTCCAATATTTTAATGTACAACGTAGTTAAAATGCTCCGTCCAACTTAACTGTTTTACAGTAACGGCTGTTTTGTTGCTTTCACACGGAAGTGCTAGTTACATTGAGCAATGAGAAGGCTAAGATTTGCGCTGACCTATCAAAATGTGCCCTCTATCTAAAATGCTTTTCACTGCAGCCGGTGATTTTAAGTTAGACGCTCCTGGCGTAGTGACTACGAAAGAAATTCAGTTAAGTGACCCCATAAGACGCAACAAAGCTGTGCCGAAAAAACTGCGGGAAAGTTGGGGTTAATCTAATACGTCTAATACGTCTGGTAAGGTAAGCTGCAATTTTGCAGTTTACTAACTTATAGCTCATCGACGTCGCAAACAGGTGCTTTACATGTTAATACTTGGGTTTTATGATTCAACCTGAAGGAAAGTTGAATGAGTTATTCATCTGCGCGCTGATACAGCAAGATAGGTCGTCACACATCCCATGAGGATGTGTTTGAGGACAAGAGAACCTAGCTTGCACATAAAGACTTATGTATTCATGGTATTCACTTATTTACGGTTGTGGAAATGGGTCTTCTGCAAACTCAAGGTACCTGGTCCTTAGAGTGTAGGAAAGATTATGAAATTCTCACCTTCTATCGAAATGGGTCTTTAGGATACCTCGCTCCATCACCCAGCTTCAAAAACTTGTACTATTGATATCACCATGACCTGGGTACTGACTCATCTTGAAGGGTGGCTGAGAGCATGAACCAGCACCGTCGACTTCGAATTGAGGAAGCCCTATTCCAATCTAGGGCGGGCTTGATGGAATCATAATTTTATCTCAGTGTGTGCATACTTATATTAAAATTTCTTTCCGCCGACAGAAACACCACGGAACGTTTGTGAAGCTCAGTCCTGTTGTCAATGAGGACAATCTCTGTAAGATGAAAGAAAGTATATTCAGTACATGTGGTGCCTTGGTCGTGACGGAGAATCGTTTCATACTTTATCAAAAAGGGTCAACAACTAGGAGTATGAATTTTAGTCTCTCAGTCTGAGGCCAAACAACATACCATTATTCGCACAATCAGTAAGGATAAGTGAGAGAGAGAGTAGGTCGTAGATAAATCACCAAAGACGCAGCGACGAATAAAATGTATGGAGTGGATCGAGAGCCAGGGTTCTTGGGATTGACTGACCGATGTTGCGGTCAAAAAGTTTCGGGTAGTTGTGGAAGTATATTTCAAACCTGTAAATTCTAGTGATCAAGACGCTTACGTCAATAGGCATTCTTATCTAGGTACCTTCTTTTCTGATAACCATCCAAATTAACAGATAGTGGTGCATTTCACTGACATAACTTCCAGCTCCCATAGACAGTCAGGAAGGCATTTCATCATCATCATCATCATCATCATCATCATCATCATCATCATCATCATCATCATCATCATCATCATCCTC